TGTCCTTGGGTGAAGGTAGAAAAAAAAAAAAAGTAAAAAAAAAAAAAAAATTCCAAAAAAAAAAGGTGGAGGTGGGAGAGAAACGGATGAACCTTTTGGAAAAAAATTTTTTTTATCCTCACCCAAGGACATTTTTTGATATTTTGTTCAGATAGAGTGGGAGGGAGGGAGGGAGGGAGAGAGAGAAAGAGAGAGAGAAACATCGACGTGAAAGGAACACATCGAGTGGCTGCCACCCGCACGACCCAACCAGGGCTGGGGACAAACTGCAACCAAGGTACGTGCCCTTAGCGGGAACCGAACCTGGGCCTCTTCAGACTGCAGGCCAACGCTCTAACCGCTGAGCCAAACCAGCCAGGGCCTTCTGGAAAAATTTTAACAGCTTCTGAAGTTTGGTAATAGGTACCTGAAACTTTCACTGTATTATTCTCTCCTTTTATGTATAATGTTAAACATCTATTATGAAGTTTTAAAAAAAATCAAACATTAGGTTTTCTTAGTCTAGTATAAAAGATTTAAGAAAAGAATATGGCAGGAAAATATAAGCTAATTAAACTTTAGAACACTCAAGTCTTTACAAAATTTCATATACTGGTAGTGGCACTTTTAATATCTACTGAAAGAGAATATGGCAAAAAGTAAATGTTAATTTAGTAACATCTTTAAATAAATTTGAGAGTTAATCACACAAGCATCAGCTACTGTAACATGTACACATGGTAGTCTATGTATTTATAAAAAATATTCAGGTAACATTGGGCAAATATTTGGATTTGCAAATTTCCGGCAAAACAATGACCAGGCTTCTCAATACTCCACCATGGACAAGAAATGTAAAAGAACCAAGATCTCAAGTTATTAGTCTTAGTGGAAGCACAAATAAATGGGTATTATCTGTCAGTGATAATCATTCATATTTACTTTCCACAAACTGAAGTTTGTGAAATATAAGTAATTCTCAATTATGTGATTTTTGCAGCCATGTTTAAAAAAATATAATTAAGCAAGCCAGTTTAAAAAACAATAACAACAACAACAAAAACAGTGTGGTCCTATAGTTTCCTTTTTTTTTTTTTGGTTAATCCTCAGCAGAGGATATTCTTCCATTGAGTTTTAGATAGAGTGGAAGGGAGGGAGGGTGAGAGAGAAAAATCGATGTGAGAGAGACACATCCACTGATTGCCTCCTGCATGATCCCAGCCGGGGCCAGGAATTGGACCTGCAACCCAGGTACATGCCCTTTACTAGGAATCAAACCCACGACCCTTCAGTCCAAGGGCCAACGCTCTAATTGCTGAGCCAAATTGGCCAGGGAATAGTGTAGTCCTATAAAGCAGTAAGTAGTTCTCAATCAAAGTAGGTTTTTGTCCCCATCCTCCAACTCTGACATTTGGCAATGCCTGAAGACATTTTTGGTTGTTATAACTGAGGAGGGGAGCAGTGTTACTGGCAGCTAGTAACAGAGGTCACAGATGTTAGTCAATATCCTACAACACACAGGACAAGCCTCACAGTTATTCAGCTCAAACTGTCAATTAGCGTTGAGGTTCAGAAACACTGTTTCAGAGTATAAGGAATCATAAATTGAAAAATTCACAAAATATAAGCAGTTCAGCAGCTATCTTCATCATTTACTTCTTATTTGAGTATAATGATAGATTCAAACAGCAAAAACCAAAATGGTTTATTTTTTCATGACTTAAAATCTAAAAACTCCACAGGCTTTCTAAGAGTGAAATGAGTTACCTTCAAAATAACCGCATCAGAGTTTATGTGTTAAAATTTTAACCAGCCACTGATACCATATAAAACCAAAATAATTACCACACTTGGTCATATTTGGAGATTGTTTAAATGAATTTCATGTTTATCTACCCGAACTTCAGTTTTCCAATAACATCATTCCTGCTTTTTTTCCCCACTGAATTTTTTTTTTAATTTATTTTTGTTACAGATGTTTTTCCTTTTCCCCTCATTGACACCCTCTTCCTGATACTACCTCCCCCCGCCCCATCCCTAGCATTGTCTTCTATGTCTGTGGTTACCCATACATGCATATAAGTTCTGTGGTTTATATTTTCTCTCCCCCCCCCCTTCTGAGGTTTATCAGTCTGTACCCTACTTCTATGTCTCTGGGTCTATTTTGTTCATCAGTTTGTTCTGTTCATTATATTCCACAAATAAGTGAGATCATGTGATATTTGTCTTTCTTTGATTGGCCTGTTTTGCATGGGATAATACTCTCCAGGTCCTTTCATGTCGTCTCAAAGGATAAGAGATCTTTCTTTCTTACAGCCGCATAGTATTCCATTGTGTATATGTACTGCAGCTTTTTTATCCACTCATCTATTGATGGACTCTTGGGCTGTTTCCAGATCCTAGCAATTGCAAATAGAGCTGCTATGAACATAGGGGGTATGTACACACATTCTTTCTGATTGGGAGTTTCAGGCTTCTTAGGGTATATTCCTACAAGTGGGATTACTGGGTCAAATGGCAGTTCAATTTTTAATTTTCGGAGGTAACACCATAGTGTTTTCCATAGTGGCTGCACCAGTCTGCATTCCCACCAGCAGTGTACTAGAGTCTCCTTTTCTCCACACCCTCACCAACACTTGTTTGATGATTTGTTGATGGCGGCCATTCTGACAGGTGTGAGGTGATACCTCATACTTGTTTTAATTTGCATCTCTCTGATGATTAGTGATGTTGAGAATTTTTTCAATTGTCTCTTGGCCATTTGTATGTCCTGTTTGGAGAGGTGTCTATTAGGTCCTCTGCCCAACACCATTCCTTCTTAAAAGATTTCTGTTAGGGCCTCCACACAAGAAAAGAACCATATCTGACTAACATATGTAACCAGGAAAATTAGATATCTAAAGAACTCTAGCCTCTTTCAGAAATGGCATCTTACTGAGTGGTTTCCTTTGGCTACTGGCACACTTCTGCCAATGCTGTAGGCCCACAACTAAACATCTACACCAGGCTAAGTAAATAGCCATCAGAACCCTAGATGATCTTTTCACACTAATCCTGACACAGCCTCTGGACTCTCCTCTTTCCCAGAAGAGCCTGTCTCAGGCTGTATACCCTTTTAGAAAAGCAGTTTGTAGCCTGTAACACCTACTGGCCAAATTCTGATTCTGGTTCTTCATGAAGAATCTGCTTAGTCTTCTAGATGGCAATGACTCAGTGCTAACAGCATTCCACTGGAAAAAATCATTTGGCTAGAAAAAAGGAAACTTAAATGGCAGTCTTCATTTGTTCATTTAACACAATCAAATATTTATTGAGCACCTATTACATGTCAGGTACTAGAGTTATAGTCGTTTTCTGCCATTAACTTCTCTCTGGGGATGTTCAAGAAAAAGTTAACTCTTTTCTACTTATAAAAGGAAACTAAATTCAATTGCTCAATTTCACATATCTTTGTTTTTTTACTGTTTTGTTATTTTTAAGTTAAAAAGTGAAACAGTACAAAGAGATACAGAATGTTACATAACTTTCTTTATCCTACCTCTGACCCCTATTCGCTCTCCCCAAATGTAATAAACATTTTTTAGTTTTTGAATCTGCCCTCCCCCCAATTTAGTATCCATATGACTGAAAGTGGTTGGCAATGGAGTGGCCAAGATGACTCCTAAATTTCTGGTTTAAACAATTAGGTGGTGATATTTACTGAAATATAAAATAATGGCAGAGCAACAAACCTGAAGAAGGTTATAAGTTAGAGATGCCTGTGAGATATTCAGATGTGAATACTTAGACCTAAAGTATCTGGAGATCAGGAGAGTGGCCTAGTTTGAATGTATAGATTTGAGTTTTTAGCAAATAAGTATGATGGCAAACCCATATGGTAGCATATGGGTATGGAAACAGAGTAGATGAGCTCAGTTAGAGATAATACATAGTGTGAGAAGACAAGAGGGCCCTAATAGAGACCAGTATTTTGGAAAAGAGTAGTGCAAAAACTGGAAAATAATAAGAGTAACAGTAAAAAGAATTAACATTTGTTGAGTTGCTATACGCTAGGCATTAAAGTTAGGCATGTTTTGTAATACCCAATTTACTCCTAACAACAAACTTCTGAAGAGTACTATTATTATTACTAAACTTCTAAATAGCACCAAGTACTATTATTCCTATATCAGAAAGGAATTGGGGCATATGGAGTTTAAAGAACTTGTCCAAGGTTACCCAACAGAATGTGAAGCTAGCTGGTCTGAGTCTAAAGCCTACAACCTTAACCAAAACACAAAATTGCCTCTGAGGAAAAAGGAGATCTAGAAAGAACAACCACGTCTTCACTCTCAAGTTCATCTTATTGTTTTAAAATTGGCTATTTTTCAGATGTGTTGAGGCCAACAGATTAGGAGACAACTGCCACTGAAAAGATTGTTACAGATCCCGAGAAGGGGGCCGGCCATGCTGGACGGGAGGGCACATGGGACAGCACCAGGTTGTCCTCATCTCAAATTATTCCCCTTTCACTGGCTTTAAGTTTCATAGAATTATATAGTCCCTTGAATCTAGAAACACAAGTCTGAATTATATCTTTTCTGTGAATATATTTTGAATACTGGCAACTTCTCTGAACCTTCATAGAAATAGTATTCTTATGATCTACAGGCTCCATGATTTTTCTGCAGACTCATCTTTAAGAGAGTTCTATAATTATTAACCTAGGGTTAACAAAATAGCAATTAGGAATAATTCAGGCAGAAACCAGAGGGAAATTTTCAGGTATAAAATGCAAAGAAGAGTCTGGTTGGTGTGGCTCAGTGGTTGATGGGGAATATTTGCTTAGAAACAATTATTCATTGGCTACTAAATATATTTTTAAAATATTTTATCTTGGCTATAGCTTAAGGTTATAGGTCTAAATATAATTATCAGATAGAACATCATTTAAAAAATATGATTGAAACTCCTGTTGTCAATTGCTATTATTTCCTTATTTCTTCCCAGGCTAATTGTAAAACACTACAAAATAAGCTGATGAAGAAGACTGTCATTAACAAACCATACAAGGTAGCTATTTTCTCTATTTTTAAGAAAGAAGCTTTTGGTATATATATAGAGTTAAAACTGTCATAATTAACAAAACCTTACAAAGGAAAATAAATTTCCCCATTGCTATTAATTATATTGCCAACTTGCTATTTCTATGTACTTTCACTTATCTTTAATCAGTATACAATCAAAAAGTATAATTTGAAAACAACCACTTATTGTCTTCCGCCTTCCCCACTTTAAACCTTAAACAGAATAGTACCTTGCAAAATTCAAGATATTATAAAATAATAGGAAATACTTTTAGTAGTTTACACATTTCAACATAACTTTTAATTTATAATTCCAAAAGGCCCAAATCCAAGAGTTAATTTAATTCAGCAAAGCAAAATCTAATCATAGAATTAAAAAAGATTAAGTAGGCTAAAAGGGTCCATAAAAATTAAGTCCAACTAATTAAACTACTCACAGACAGCATAGTTCTAATTTCTCCAGTTGATCTAGATGAAAAATGTACTGTCTCTTGCCCATGTTTTTTTGATCCGTACATTCTTTCTTTGATGGTTCCCACTTGTTTCTCCAGAACAACACTAGAAAATGGCCACTAAATTGGAGGGTGTGTCTTCATCATTACTAAGCATTTTCCTATCAGAAGCAGCTCTTCAAAAAAAAAAACCTGAACAGCCCTGGCCGGTTTGGCTCAGCGGTTAGAGCGTCAGCCTGCGGTCCGGAGAGACCCGGGTTCGGTTCCCGCTAAGGGCATGTACTTCGGTTGCAGTTTGTCCCCGGCCCTGGTGGGTCGTGCGGGTGGCAGCCACTCGATGTGTCCCTTCACGTCGATGTTTCTGTCTCTCTCTCCCTCCCACTCTATCTGTACAAAAAAATGGAAAAATATTCTCGGGTGAGGATAAAAAAAAAAAAAAAAAAAAAAAAAAAAAAAAAACCTGAACATTTTCTTCAGTGTCACTCAGTATTGTTCAGTAACTGCAGAAGAAGTAATAAGGAGGGTGGGGTTTTGTTTGTTTGTTTTCAGCATAAAAGGATATTGCTTAATATTTGTGTTTACTTAAAAGATTTTTAAAACCAGGAGCAGGTATGACATATAATAAATTTTCCTGATTATAGGCTTCCTGATATTTCCCAACAGAAATGCATTCCATCCAATTAATTCTACATGGAATGTTACACACAATAAAAAATTTTTAAAAGAGTAATTTAAAATTTTTTCTACACAATAGTAAATGTACTTAAGTACAATAATCTATAGTCCAAAACAAAACAAAAGATGAACAGGTGCAAAGGGAGAAAGTTGATTTATACAGATTATACACTCAACTGACTAAAAATAAAGGACAGCAGTGACTTGGTCTTAACTAAAGGAAGAGACATAGCAATAATGGATCAAGCATTCCCTACCAATATCTGGTTAACCAGCTGGCATATACTGGGGACTTACTGAATGCAGAGCAAAAGCAAGGTGAGGAACTAAAACTATTATTTTTAAGTGCTTTAGGAAAAAAATGGAGCTAGGTCAGACACGTTGGCGAAATGGTGTCAGAAGAGCATGTAATAAACATTAAAATGAATAGATATTAGTAGCTCACATCCAACCTTATTTTCTTATCAATAATAATAATAATAATGCAGAGACAGAATTTGTGATTCTGTTAAGAGATAAAGAGGACATCTTTCTTTTAAAATGATTCATTATTCCCTTTCATAATAAACAAAGATTCTGTCAGGAAAAGTAAAATAAAAAGGACAGGGCAAGATAGATATACACTGAAGTAGAAAATCCATTTTAATAAAGGTGTTAAAGACATATTAATGCTTATGAATTAATCAGCAAAATCCTAACAATAAAATATAGGTGGCCATATTCTGTCAGCTAAAAAAATTACAATGTGGATTTAAAAAATAAAGGATGTCCTCAGATTTATTATTCCAAATAAAAACAGCCCTGGCTGATTTGGTTCTGGTTCCAAATCAGTGGTTGGAGCGTCGAAGATGGACCAAAGAGTCACAGGTTCGATTCTGATCAAGGGCACATACTGCAGTTGCAGTTTGGTCCCCAGCCCTGGTCAGGGTCAACTGATAGATGTGTCTCTCTCATATCAATGTTTCTCTCTCTCTCTCTTTCCCTCCCACTCTGTCTGAAAATAAATGGAAAGATACCGTCAGGGGATGATTTAAAAAAAGAAAACAAAACAAAACAAAAACCTACTGAACATTTTGATCTGCGGTAGTAGGTCAAATAACAAGTCTCAATAGCTATATAAGCAATAATCTAAAAATCGAAAGGCAGTCAAATCAGTACACTAACACTGTGCCACTGTGGAGTACACTGAGCTTTGGGCCTTTTCTCCTAAATCCTTAAGGTGTGATTTGCTTCTGGAAATGCAGGGAACAAACCTCGGGCACAGAACTGGGAAAACTAAAATTGAGTCAGAGTTTCTGATCTAAAAATAGACTGGAAATGACCAGAATTTCTCCCTGTATTTTCTAATTAATGGAAGCCTCTAAAGGTCTATTCTCTCTCAATTTATCAGATTTGAAAATAATTTCATACTAAATGATGATCTGGTATAATTCCTTTTCATATAAGAAATGAGAAGCTAGCTTTAAAGAAATTAAATGATTCATTCAAGATATCATTGCTAATTAATGTCATTCATGACTACTAGTCTAGTCTCCTTTCCACAAGGCTTTTAAAAAAATGAAAGTCTTTAATATAACTATATAAGATACCAAGATAAAATGTTAAAATCTATACTGGAACGCCGGGGATATGCGAAGAATCCAAAATTGAAGAAACAGACTTCCGGTCAAGATGGCGGGTAGGTAAACGCGGTATCACGTCCTCCAACAACCACATCAAAGTTACAACTAAACTACAGAACAACCATCATTCAAAACCGCCTGAAATCAAGCTGAATGGAAGTCCTACAACTACGGAATTAAAGCAGCAGCCACATCCAGACTGGTAGGAGGGGCGGAGGGGACGGGCTGGTCCCACACCCACGTGTGGCGGATAAAAATCAGGAGGACACCTCGGCTGGGAAGGTCCTTCCTGAGGACTGAGGGGTCCCCGTCCCACACCAGGTGCCCCCGCTCAGGGTTGCAGTGCCAGGAAGAGAGTCCCCATAACTTCTGGCTGGAAAAACCAGCGGGAACTGAGGCTCAGGGAGGCTGAGGCGGCTGGAGCCCCAGGCAGCTCCTTAAAGGGCCCGCGCACAGACTTATCGGACTCTCTCCCTCTAAGCTTGGAGGGGAGGCAGCTCGAGGGGCGCCAGAGACATACAGGGAAGAACTGAGCTGTTTGGCACTGGAGCGAGGACTGGAGAGGGGCTTTCTCCAGGACAAACTTGCTATCAGAGGCCTTTGTTCCTTTGGTGAGCCCTTCCCTGGGGCGGCAAACAACCGCCATATATGGGCCTCCAGCAACCTGGCTCACCGGTAGCCCCGCCCTGGTGACTCCCTGAGGCCCTGCCCCGCCCCACCCAACTTTCAGGCCCACCCAAGCTGTTGCCACTTGCTTAACCATAGGATTGGCCTGTCTTGGATCCTGCTGCAGGTTTTTCCTAAATTCTTTCAAACGAGCAGCATCTGGTCGCAGCTAGCCCCATACCTCTCGTTAAGTAATACACAGAAACAAACACAGGGAGGCAGCCAAAATGAGGATACAAAGGTCAGAAATAATGGATGCACAGTCAGAAATGAAGGAGGCATTAACTGAAATAAAGAATAATTTACATAGCTTCAATAGTAGAGTACGTAAATCCAAGAAGCAAACCATCGATTTGGAATGTAAGGAAGCAAAAAACGCCCAATCAGAACAGCAAAAATAAAAAAGAATCCAAAAAAATGAGGATAGTGTAAGGAGCCTCTGGGACAACTTCAAGCATGCCAACATCTTGGGGGTGCCAGAAGGAGAAGAGCGAGAACAAGAAATCAAAAACCTGTTTGAAACAATAATGGCAGAAAACTTTCCTAATTTGGTGAAGGAAACAGACATACAAGTCCAGGAAGCACAGAGAGTCCCAAACAAGATGAACCCTAAGAGGTCCACACCAAGACACATCATCATCAAAATGCAAAAGGTTCAAGACAAAGAGAGAATCTTAAAAGCAGCAAAAGAAAGGCAGCTAGTTACCTACAAGGGAGTTCCCATAAGACTGTCAGCTGATTTCTCAAAAGAAACTTTGCAGGCCAGAAGGGAGTGGCAAGAAATATTCAGAGTGATGAAAAGCAAGAACCTACAACCAAGATTACTCTATCCTGCAAAGCTTTCATTTAGAATCGATGGCCATATACTTTCAAGAAAAAGTTAAAGGAGTTCATTACCACCAAACCGTTATTATATGAAATGATGAAGGGTCTTTCTGAAGAAAAAGATAAAATATATGAACAAACAAAATGGCAATGAATACATATCTATCGACAATGGAATCTACAAACAAAATGAACAGGCAGAACAGAAACATTCTCATAGATACAGAGAACATTTTGTTGGTTGCCAGATGGGAGGGGGTTGGGGGAATGGGTGAAAAAGGTGAAGGGATTAAGAAGTACAAATTCAGCCCTAGCCGGTTTGGTTCAGCGGTTAGAGCGTCGGCCTGCGGTCCGGAGAGACCCTGGTTCGTTTCCTCCTAAGGCCACGTACCTCGGTTGCAGTTTGTCCCCGGCCCTGGTTGGGTCGTGCGGGTGGCAACCACTTGATGTGTCCCTTTCACGTCGATGTTTCTCTCTCTCTCTATCCCTCCCACTCCATCTGAACAAAATATCAAAAAAAAGAAAAAAAAAGTACAAATTCATTGCTAGACTGACAAACCTCAAAGGGAAAGGGGTTGGGGGTTTGGGAAGAAATAAACCAGAGAACTTATATGCATAACCAATGGACACAGACAATATTGTGGGAAAAGGCGGGAGGGGGGTGGGAGTGGGGAGGAGGGGGTCAATGGGGGAAAAACGTGGAACATCTGTAATACATTTTATATTCAACAATAAAGATTAAAAAAACGAACAAACAAAATTGAAGAAACAACATGACACAGACAAAAAAAGTGAAGATTTGTTTCCCAAGAATACTTTTTATAATTCATGTGAAACAAATTTATGTTTTCATATCTGGTGATACACTAGCTTTGGTCTTAATGGTCAATCTTTTATGTCAATGTGGTTAAGATTTAATAACTCCATTAATAAATATTCTATAACAGTGATAAAGCTTAAATTTTGCTATGCTCAGACTCTCAGTTACAATTTAGAAGATTATTTTATATAATGTAATTGTAGAGCTTCATGTACTATAAGAAACTGAAGATACATTTTAAGGAAAAATAGAATGAAACAATAATACCTTAAATTTTATATGTATGATTATTCCAGACAGCAAACTCCATTATCAATATACCTACTATTGTCAATGTATACACACATAGAAAAAAACATTTTCCTTCCATTAGTAAAATCAATAACGTAAGTAGAAATGAATCTACAAATGATACTCATAAAAAATGCTTTCATGTTCTTTGGAGAGGATAACCTTTAAAAATACAAAGAAAGGGACATGGCCGGGTAGCTCAGTTGGTTAGAGCATCATCCCCATATGCTAAAGTTGCGGGTTCGATCCCCAATCAGGGCACATACAAGAAGCAACCAATGAATGAATACATGGATAGGTAGTGCAACAAATTTCTCTCTCTCTCTCTTTCATCAATCGATTAAAAAAAAATACAAAGAAAGAGTTTCAAAAGAGGATTAAAAAAAATTTTAATGTGGGAGATGGCATGAGAGCCATCTCACATTTATTTGATTGATATAGTGAGGGGGTGTGGGGTAAGCAAAACTTGAACACATTGCCAACAAAGGGTTAACATTTCATAATTTACTGAGAAGTATGAAGGATGAAGGAGGGAAAGAGATCATGATAAGAAGGCAAACATTAGCTCTCCCATTCATGAACAAAGGAAAAGAAAATGGATTTCAATAAACACCAGAGTTCAAACACAGAAAATAGGGTTACCAAGGACAGAGATTTGAAAGCGTAAAAGTTCACTTGAGGACAATGTTGTCTCTATAATGAAGTTACAAAGAAACAGTTTAAATACACTACAAATAATGTAAGAAGGTCCTTCTAATAAAAAGTTCTTTTTGTAGGTACTCTTCCCTCCAGGAGTAACAGGATTCAAGATAGGATAAATGACTCCAAGTTTCTGCAATTAATTTATAATGAAAAAAATCTGAACTCTATGAAAGAGCAACACCAGAACTTCAACAACTGTCTAAGGTGACTAGAGAAATCTTACTCTCAAACACCTTAATTAGAAATTATAATAACAGTATAAAAAGTCAATATTGGTATTTCAGTATTTATTTTGCTTAGTACTTGTGTTAAATATGGTGTCCATCATTTTCTAACTGTGCCGGTTGCTGTTCAGCTTAATAGGTCCAAGTCTGAGGTTACACTACACTGTCTTTCCTACTTCAGCCTCTTGGAGAAGTCAGGCTCCAAGAAAATGAAATTAATTTTAAAAGTATACAGCAGTAATTCTCAATCTGTGGGTCGCAACCCCTTTGGGGGTCGAACGACCTTTTCACAGGGGTCACCTAAGACATAACAGTAGCAAAATTACAGTTATGAAGTAGCAACAAAAATAATTTTATGGTTGGGGGTCACCACAACATGAGGAACTGTATTAAAGGGTGGTGGCATTAGGAAGTTTGAGAACCACCGCTATATAGGGAATTTAGACCCGATGAAAAGAAGGTTGTCAAATTCCAGAACAAGAACTAGGAATTAGGCCTAGGAACCTCACTCTTCCTTTTCTTTTTTTTTTTAGTTCCTCTACTACACCATCCTTCAGTGCATCCCTAGTCCTGCACTAGGAGGACTCAAAAGAAACTTCCGGAAGGAGAATACAGAAGTCCAAAACTAAAAGATAAGAAAATTAACTAATATTCCAGGAAACTTATATTAAAACAAGACACTTCAAAAGGGTTTTATTTATTTATTCATTTTTTATCCTCACCCGAGGACATTTTTCCATTTTTTTGTTCAGATAGAGTGGGAGGGAGGAAGGGAGGGAGAGAGAGAGAGAGAGAGAGAGAAACATCGACGTGAAAGGGACACATCGAGTGGTTGTCACCCGCATGACCAACCAGGGGCAAGGACAAACTGCAACCGAGGTACACGCCCTTAGCAGGAACCGAACCTGGGTCTCTCTGGACCACAGGCTGATGCTCTAACTGCTGAGCCAAACTGCTCAGGGCTCAAAAGAGTTTTAAATAGGAAAAGAATGTGGTTGAGATACTTTTCAAAATTTTCCGTGATTTAAAATTTTTAATTTTAATGCTGCATATAACTCTGAGTGTTAAGATATAAACAGGTCTGATTCTGACTCTGAAAATCATGAAAGTACCAGTATTATACCAAATCTACCAAAAATATCCCAGTTACATTTCTTAGGGGAAGAGAGCTTAGGTCCTATGATGGATAAGGTGGCCTGATTTGTTCAATCTCTACTTTAGCGTCTCTTCTTCTTTCTTTCTTTTTTTGGCTATTAAAGCTGTGAAGGCAAAATGTTTCTATAGTAGAATTCCATTATGTATTCCTCAGCTTCCTGGTAATGCAGAGGCCATTGTGGTAGAGACAGTGGCTAGATTCTGAGTTCCAGTACTGTTGTATCAGCATTGTAGGTTACAGAGAGGCAAATGTGATGATGGCTTCCTGATTCTTGGATTGTAACTATGATCATGATCATGTGTTCTTGGCTTCAGGAGCCTAACAGCATTGATAGAACTTGATCCTCTAGACCAGGGGTAGGGGAACTTTTTTTCTGCCAAGGGCCATTTGGATATTTATAACATCATTTGTGGGCCATACAAAATTATCAACTTAAAAATCAGCCTGCTATATTTGGTCAAACATTTAATTAACTCACCCCTAAAGTGATGGCTGGAGCTGACTTCGTGGGCCATATAATGCCAGACGTTCCCCATCCTTGCTCTAGACCTTCCAACAATATTCTATCCACTATTTCCTGTATTAAATTTTTTCCTGTTTATAGTAGAGGGGTTTCTGTTTTCTGCACTAGGATCTATGGCTGATATAGTACTTGGTATCTAGTAGGGCTGGTGATTGAATGGTGAATAGCAAGGAAACATATTGCAGGCTAAAAATCTGATGACCCACTATAGCCAAATGGCAAAACTTTTGATAAAATTATTGCCACTGTATTGTAATGCCTTGGAAGACAGACCATGTCCCCAACAAGCTTGCAGCTCTGCAAAAGAAGGCTCTCTGCCTGTGGCCTGAAGTTCAAGTTAACTGAAAGGGGTGATGGGGGTGGGGGGTTGGGATTCTCATGCCTGGAAATGCCAAAAGGCAGGAGATAAGATGGTGGCCTCAGGCCTTTCCCAAGACTCTCCCCCAAATAACAGGAAACCTGCCTAGTTGCTAAAATCCAATTATGAATGGTACTTTTTCCACTCAAGCTTCTTACTAGAGATGATCAGGGTTGTTGCCATTAAGTTGAATGAGAGGGGGAAAAGATCCAAAACAACCAATAGATAATCTATAGACTTCAGATTTAAGAACTGTGTGCAATGAATTCTTTAGCTATGGTTACTTGTGTATGAAACTGTCTAGAAGCAAACAGACTAGAAACCTACTACATTTCAGGAAACTATATTGCCAAGAAAACCAAAATCTTACTAAAACCTGGAATTCTTCAACCTCTAAAGCAACTCTTAGGGCCACAAACCTGCACTAGCAAGAATCAAATTGTGAAAGGTGTGCAGCTGCCAAAAAGAATATACTTTAACACCCATTTCATATGAGGCTCTGAGTCACTAAGAAATAAAGAACAGTTCTCAGCAAAACCAGAGGCCATGATTGAAAATGGACAAGAGTTAATCCTAGAGAACAGAACAGGGGCAGCAAAATAGTTGTTAACCAAGGGAGTTATTTTGCAGGAAGACTTTGAAAGAAATAGATGGCATTCAAAATGGGTAACTGAAACGTTTAATGAAATGACCATGTATTTCCAATGCTATAAGCAGTGTTAAGGCAACCAACAGGAATAGCGAAAGACCTAGGGAGTAGCAATAGCAGAAAGTTATTACCATAGGCCTAAAGGCCAAGGAAAAGAAGCAGTGTCACTGAAGTCTTGTAAGAGTTGAAGTTAAAGGAATCCCCCAGTAAGAGTTGGGTTTTTATATTCAGGAATACAATCACCACCAAATGGTAGCCCTACAGAGAAAAAAACTAGGAGGATAAATACCTCTAGTGGTCTCTCTTCTACCCTTTTGCTATAAACTGAATATCTGTGTTCTCCCGAAATTCACTGTGAAACTTAATCCCCAGTGTGATGGGATTTGGAGGTGGGCCTTTGAGAGGCAATTAGGTCATGTGGTCAGAGTCCTCAGGAATAGAATCAGTGCCTTTGTAAGACAAGAGTGTAAAAGCACTCTCTCACCTTTTGCTCACGTGAGGACACAGGGAAAAGACAGCCATCTATAAACCAGGCAGCAGGTCCTCACCAGAACAACTATGCTGGCACCTTGACCTTAGATTTCCCAGACTCTAGAACTGTGAGAAATGAATTTTTGTTGTTTATAAGCCATCCAGTGTATGGCATTTTTGTTATAGCAGCCTGAACAGACTAAAATACCTTGGATTTGCAGGTCCTTCTCATTGGCTGAACCCAAATAGTAACCATAGGACAAGGGAATACAGGTGATGCATTCCATAATGATCAGGATGGAATTATGTGTCTAGAGGGCATATGGAGAAAACTCATCACTAACAATAACACTGATCCCTTACCCATACACCTGGACATTAAATAAATCATGGGCTAAAGGAGAAATCAAAATGGAAATTACAAAGCCATGAGACAAACTACATTTTAAATCTCATGACATAGCCAATGCAGCACTCAAAGGAAAATTTATAACCTTACAAATTATATTCAGTAGTTAAGACTTTAACTCCAGAAGCTAGAGAAAACAAAACAAAGCAACAAACAAAAACAAACAAACAAAAAAACCCAAATCATTAAAATTAAACACAAAGAAAGAAGAAGATAGGAAATTAAAGAAAAAAAGTAAAATTTTTAAAAAATATTTTAAACCATAAACACACACAATTTAGCTGATCGAACAAAACCAGAAACTAGGTTTTTAAAAAATCTATCTGGAAAGTCAACACTGTGACAAATCTATGCAACAAAAAGAGAGAGGGCATAAATAAACATAAGACGATCTAATTAGTGTTATGAAACTAAAAACTGAGAAACTACTTTGAAAACTTAAAATTTTTCTGGAAAATAATAATAGCTAATATTTACTGAATGCTCACAATGTGACAGGCACTCAGATGACATATTGGCATTTAATACTCACAATTGCTCTATGAGACATGCACGTTATTTCTACTTAAAAATGATCTTCTAACCCAAGAACATTTTCATTGCTTGCCTTCTAAATGAGTCAGGCAGTTTCCCATCTCTTTCTGTATCCTGAGAGAAGATAGGTGAGGTACAAATATGTAACGAAGGGCTTATATCCCCAGCACATGTAAAGAACTCCTTCAAATAAGTAAGAAAAAGAGATAACTCAATGGAAAAATAGGCAAAACAAACAAACAAAGAAAAAACTTTAATTGTCTTCGCAAAAGTGGATATAGAACGGGTCCATAAACACATAAAAAGATACTCAATTCCCTTGTCAGGGAAATGCATATAAAAGCCAGAGGAGATACCAGTACTCACCCACGAGAATGATAAAAAGAAAGACTGAAATTAGCAAGTGATGGTGAGGATGTAGAGCAACTGGACTTCTCAAATACTGATGGTAGAAGTATAAATTGGTACGACCATAGTGGAATAATGTTTGGCAGTTATCTACAAAAGGTGAACATATGCATTTCCTATGACTCAGCAATTCCATTTCTAAGTATATACGCAACAGAAACGTGTTCAACAAAACACATATACTAAAAGGTTCACAATAGCACTACTCATAAAAATCTCAAACAGGAAACTATCCAAATACCATTAACAGTAGAATGGACTTAAAAATGTGTCATATATTCTCACATGAAATACTATGAAGAAATAAACAATGCTTACATGACAACAGAAAAGAATCTAACATGCTCTGGCCAGTTTGGCTCAGTGGTTGGAGTGTCAGACCATGGACCAGAGAGTCCTGGGTTCAGTTCCCATTAAGGGCAGTTTTGTCACCAGCCCCAGTTGGGGTCATGTGGGTGGCAACCAGTGTTAGTGTCTCTCTCACCTCGATGTTCCTCTGTCTCTCTTCCTCCCTATCCCCCTCCTGCTCTATCTAAAGATAAGTGCAAAAATGTCCTAGGGTGAGGATAAAAAAAAAATCTAACAAGCAAAACAAAACCAGAGAGCAAAAAAAGTCAGGCTAAATAGAACATGTACAAATGGAAGTGCACATTGTGTACACTATAAAAATAGGCAAAACTAATCTAAGTTAGTTATTATAAATGTGAATGGTGGTTATCCTTGGGGTGAGGAGAAGCTACTAAAAGCAAGAGAGAGCTTCTGGTGTACTGGTGATGTTCAGTTTCTTGATCTAGGTGCTTGTTACAAGGATGTGTTCACATGTGAAAATTCAGCAACATTTATGATTTGTGGACTTTTCTTATGAATATTATGCTGCAATAAAAATTAATGCATATGACACAAAGCAAATAAATCTAATAGCAAACTGTAAAAAATTTTCTACATGTAGCATATAAAACTCATGCAAGTCAATTTTTAAGAAGCTAGATTCCAACTGGAAAATGGGTCTACATACAAAAAGAAATGTTCAAGCAAAGAAAGAAAAATGGCTTCAATAAATGCATAAAATGTAAATTAGAACAATGCAACTCTATTTTTTAAGTCTTTAAAAATTATTCTCTTCGCCCTGG